CATAGCTACTGCCGCTCGTTAGGGGTGATTTAATTATGCTGGCAGGAGAGCTCTCTCCTGCTAGCAAAGAGCAGCTACATGGGCAACCTTACAGCAGTACAACTGTGCCTCTGTAAAGTCCGTAGTGTAGACATGGCCTAAGAGCCGTCACAGAGAAATTTGGGGCCCTGGTCGCTGATTGTGTCTCATTTACAGGCCTAGCCCCCCATGGAACAGTGGCATTTCTACACAACACCCTGTACAGGGGAAGGAGTGGGGAGGGGGAGCGTAATTGATGGATCGGTAGTTTCACTCTCTGAGCAAAAAGCTCAGAGACAGGGTTCCTATTTAAGAGAAGGATTCTCTTCTGTCCAAGGGGGCGAGGGGACCGATCATTGTCACACGTAAGAAAGAGTTGCAGGAGGAATTCTTCCCAGTCTGAAATGTTGACAAACCTCATCCTCGCAGGGAGGGTGCCTTTCAGGGCTTTGGTTGTTTTCAAAGATCTGTAACGTTTTGTGCTTTGAGTAAACTCATCCTGGTTAAGAAATTCCTTTGTTAAGCCAATGTTTCTTGCTATCCTGATATCTTGTCCCTAAAGGGTTTAAATTAGACGTCCAGAGAGCCTCTAGTTGGAGCGCTGGATGAGCACATGTAAGAGACTGGGGGCTTTTGATTTTGGGGTCTAGGGCAGCAGCACCCGATGTCCCAAGGAAGAGCATCAGACAAGAGGTCTGAGCCAAGGAGAGTGCCCTGTAGACCTACAACTTTGATTTTACCCAGACGGCCTGGGAGCACACGGGAGCCAGGAGTGGGTCCACTCTCAACAGACTGTTGACTGCCGAGAGGCACTGGGCCAGAGTTTAACACAACAGCTGCATGAAAGCTTCCCAGTTTGTTCACAGGTCAAGCTGTGAGGTCTGCCAGAACTACCACGTTTGGAAGTGGCGGTGGGCCTGGTCACGGGCTTGTTCGTGTCAGTTTGGGCCATTGACTTGATTGGGTGCGGGAGTTGGGAGGAATATCGGCTGTGCCCGTCCAGTCGCAGCTTGCTGTGGCCCCTGGATGGAGCCCTGCAACCTCCTTGGTGGCTTCTGCTGCCCTGACTGGTTTTCAGAGGAACGTCTGCTGTCGAAATTGCTATGCTGTGAGGTGAGACCAATAAACAAAGAGTAAAGTGGTTTTAAGGCTGAGGGTAAACTAGGGAATGTCATGTGATAGGAATGCAGCTCCAGGGCAGCATACATGCTCTGCCAATAGTATATAGGCACAGAGACCTCATGGGGGGACGCCCAATGATTTCCCTGAGCCTCCTGAGTTCATGGGGGCAGGCCAATCTAATGACCAGGAGAGATGCCGTGTGACCAACCGTGTGGCTTGCAACAAATGTCCAACCACCTCAGAATCTATGTATTATCAGGGAGAACCAGACAGCACAACCTTCTTGAAACAAACCCCTGCGTGTTAGCAGAGGAAGCTCTGACTTGGGAGAAGAAAAAATGGCAAAAAAAACCCCACCTTAATTTGGAGTGTTGCAGACTTTCAAGTTGGAGATTTCCCGCTCTGCCAGTTAACACCACTCTTGGCAAAAGGAAAATGAGGCTTGTTCTTTGTTTCTGACCTTTTGAGGATGATTGCATTCCTTGTCAGCAAACTGTCTGAACTTAACACACAATGGGGTGAGATAAAATTGGTCTCTGGTTCTGTAATTGTACTTAAATCCTTCTAAACTTGGCATGTCAGGTTCACTCCCGCCGAGGATTGCGTTGAGATGCTCAGATGAAACTACCAGGCTTTGCTTGGGTCAATGAAAACCTCCTGGGAGATACTGATGTCTTGACATTATCAAAATGTGAAGTTGAAGACCTCCCCTCTCCCAGAAAACCCACCTCTCTCCAGACCTACCTTGTCTAGGGTGGGAGCTTAGAGGTTGGCAACACCCCTCTGGTTGAGGGTAGTGCTTTGCATGGGAGTGAGCTTCTTCCCAGACCTTCCTCCCACCAGTTTCACAGCATCAGTCCTATAAACGTGTGGCAGCTCACCCTATAACTGCTGCCTAGACTGGACTTGACCTTAGTCTAGGGTCTGACACCTTCCCTTTCCCCCAAACCCTGTCAGAATGCACTACTGTGTTAGAGCATGCTGACTGACGCCTGTGTTTAATTCTTGCCAATAATGGATACACGCCTCCCTCCCCTCACCTGTTTTGGGGACTCCCTAGCACTGCTGTGCATTGTGGGGTGCATCAGAGCTCAGAAAGACATAACAGGCCAGCCATGAACCAACCATGGGACCGTCAGCAGCAGCATTTGGAGTCCCACTGATTGCCACACAGAGGGGTGGACAGGCAGCTTGCTTCTCTGGACCATATGGGAGGGGGCTTGCCTTCCCTACTGACCCACGTAGAAGATGGAGAGCTCCAGTCAGCCTGACTGCTCGGAAATATCAGGAGTGTGTTAGGTGCCGTCTCGTTGGGCGAGAGACCTGCAGGCCGCCCGGCTCCCAGCAGGTTTGCCAAAGGGAGATTCTGAGCCTGTTGGAAGAAGGGATTAATAGCCAGTCTTAGAACCAGATTTGCAAAGCTTTCGATGACCGGGACCAGGTTTCGATTGGTAACAAGCCCAGGCACGGGTTCGGCCTGGTGGGAGGTTTCATTGTGCAAGGTTCACAGAGCTCTAGACTGGCAAACATTTTACTAGCAACATTCAGCATCAAAGCAATAGCGTACAAATATTGGCAAGGAAAGGGTAGGCACCCAGGATTTGAGTCGGAGATGACAATGTCACTGGCCATGTAGTGGTTTGCTCTTGCTGTCAGAGCCAAATCTCGAACCCTGGCAAAATTCCCATTGAATGGGAACTTAGTTTGTGTTCATTTATTTTTTCACTCCCGTTTAAAATTGCTACATTTCTGTGGCTCTTGTGATGCTAAAGAGCACTGACCATTTCTAAGAGGAATATAATCCACAATCAGGTTTTTAAAAAAATTTTTAATAAGAAAAACATAAGCACGGCCATATTGGCTCAAACTAGCCCGTCTTGCCAGTATCCTGTCTTCTGACGGTGGCCAGTGTCAGGTGCTTCAGAGGGAATGAACAGAACAGGGTGATTATTGCATGATCCATCCGGACATCCAGTCCCAGCTTCTAGCATTCAGAGGTTTAGGGACACCCCTGGGGTTGCATCCCCTGATCATTTTGGCTAATAGCCATTGGTGGACTCATCCTCATGAACGTATCTAATTCTTTTTTTAACCCAGTTATACTTTAAGCCTTCACAACGTCCCCTTGCAACGAGTTCCACAGGTTGACCATGCCTTGTGTGAAGACCGTGCCTTTTGTTTGTTTTAACCTGCTGCTACTAATTTTCATTGGATGACCCCTGGTTCTTGTGTTATGTGGTGGAGTAAATAATGCTTTCTTATTCACTTTCTCCACAGCTTTGATGATTTCATATATCTCTAGCATATCCCCCCTTAGTCGTCTCCTTTCTAAGATGAACTGTCCCAGACTTCTTTTAATGTCTCCTCATATGGAAGCTGTTCCATACCCCATATCATTTTCATTGCCCCTCTCTGCACCTTTTCCAATTCTGATATGTCTTTTTTGAGATCGTGCAGTTCTGGTTGCCCCCATATTCGAAGTATGGGTGTACTATGGATTTACATAGTGGCGTTACGATATTTTCTGCCTTATTATCTATCCCTTTCCTAATGGTTCCTAACATTCTGGTAGCTTTTTTTGACTGCCGCTCCGCATTGAGTGGATATTTTTGGAGAATTATCCATGATGACGCCAAGCTCTGTTTCTTGAGTAGTAGCAGCTAATATAGACCCCATGATATTGTATATATAGTTGGGATTATGTTTTCCAATATGCGTTACTTTGCATTTATCAACATTGAATTTTATCTGCCATTTTGTTGCCCAGTCAGCCAGTTCTGGGAGATCCCTTTGTAACTCTTTGCAATCTGTTTTGGACTTAACTGTCTCGAGTAATTTTGTATCATGTGCAAACTTTGCCACAGTGTAATTTGTGGGTGTCAAGTCTCAACTGTAAATTATGGCTTCTTTGAACAGTACATAATTGGATGTTTATGGAACCAAAGCATAGATTTGTGTGTTTTGTGTGCATAGATATACAGACACTTGTATTCTTCTTCATCAGAGTGTAGATTCTTATGTGAAAGTCATCTCCCCTTCCTCCCCCCCGTTGTACACATTTTCCCCTTGAAAAATGGGCTAGTGAATATTTTATAGTAGAGTTTTTTTTATTTCCCCTCAGTGAAAACTTCATTTAATGTAGATTTAACAGGTAGTATCAGGACTCTTCTATCATTTATAATCACGTAAATAAAATGGTAATTTACGCTCAATAAAGGATTCACATGTTTATGCTGACAAGTTAACATGTGCCTTTGATACTTTTAAAGTGCTCAAGAGACAGTAAGAAAACATATATGAGATAATATATGGAGATAGTTTGGCACAATTGGATTTTAGAGAAAGATCATAAATCTTAATTAACTGGGTTCCTTCTGTCATTTACTTATCTGTGATTTCAAGTTATTTTTCTTGGCTCCATTAAAATATTCAATGTTCTTTTCAGTGAATCATATACAACTCTCTACTGCTGTGTTTGAAATACGGAAATGATATTTGTGCCACAAATTAAACATTGCCAATAATTACCAAGGACAAGCAGGTTCATTTCGATACACTTCTGAGGAATACATACAAGTACATTACATAATGAATCAGTGAGCTAAATTACGGCTACTTCACAGCTATGACTCATTTCTTGGTAGAACACTTTCTGGAATGTTTCAAATCCAGCATTTTCATCTGCCAAAGAGCAACAGTTAAAGTAAGGAGGGATGTGTGAATCATGGAGGAGCACAAAGAAATAGTAAGAATCGCTTGAAAAGTAGGCTTTGAATTTTGACCCACTTTTGCAATTGGGTCTTGTCTGAATTTTCACCAGTTGAATGCCCATGTTGATCATCTGCCATGTTTTCCTGCAGGAGTCCTTCCCGGGAAACCTGCAGTTAGTGATGGTTCTACGTCCCACTGGGTTTTTCCAGCGCACTTTCACTGACATTGGATTTCGCTTCAGTCAGGAGGATTTTCTACTCAAATTACCGGTATGAGTATATCAGCTGTGCATTATGCTCATGTCCTCTTAAATACTGATTTGGTTCCATGCTGCTGTGTCAGGGCCGTGTCCTCATTCAATGCCTGGTCATGAAAAATAAATGGGGCTTTTCTTTTAACGATGCAGTATTTCAAACAATTGTAGCTTTTCCGAAGCGTTGGGTTTTCCTGCGGTACGGTATTGTGAAAAGTGCACATGGATACGGTTTTTCCTTTGGAAGAGAATTTGGTCAGTGTTTGAAGGTGCTGGATTGACAGCCCTATCGTGTAAAGTTTGCTATCTGCAGAAGTAGTATTGTCCTGGGCAGTGGCAGGACAGGCTGAACTATGTGACTGCCCCATATGCCTCCCCCGTGAGCTGGGGGGCGAAAAGGTAGCTCATTCTTTAATAACCATTTAACATTTAGCATGTGTGAAGAGACTTCCAACGCAAGTACCGCGGTTGATGCCAAATCCGTCATGTTAATCTCAGTGTAAAAATCCTGTTGATATCAGTGCCCTGTTTTTATTTATTTTCAAAATAGTTTGTATTTTCAATGGGATACGTTTTAGAGAGGCTCCACAATCTCCCTCTACACTGCTGGCCTGTCTTCCCAGCCTAGGAAGGCTTGACACCATGCACAGAGGCTACTTCAGGTCCTATTCTCAGGGCCTCAGCTTTATTTCTTCCACATAAAACTAGTACAGCATATCAGCTGTTCCTTCCCCCTAGCCCACGGTCTTCTGCTGGAGACAATCTATTTCCTACAGGTTTCCACTCTATGCCTGAGAGTCCTCCACGGATGCTGTGCTTTTCCCTCCAGGAGCCAACCTAACTCCCTCTCCTGCCACAGGGTCTCTCACAAGAGCCTTCTTGCTCCCTGCGGCCCTCTACCCCAACTGAGCCACTTGCTGGCTTTGATCCCAAGCTGATCAGCCTCCCATCACTGGGGAGGCTGGGACCAGCTCTGCTTAAAGGGCCAGCCACCCTGTGTCACACCCTATCAGTGAAATCACGGGACATTTGGGGACCAGGACCAATGGAGAGTGGTTAAAAGAAGAAATGCATTAATAGAACTTGAGTCTGAAAGACTTCATTGTAAACCCCCCCCCCCAATAATATGTGAATTATTGCTCTATTATTTTTGCTTAAAAATCAGATTTTGCAGTTTTTGCACGGAATGTACATTTTTCACTCAATTCTGTTTTCAACAACAAAACAAAACAAACAGCCCCCCTCCACTCCCAAAGAATCCAAACACCCTCCTGCAAAAACCAAAACCCTGCAGCATCTTTGAAAATTCAAAATTCACTCAGGAAAAAGGTCAGTGTTTGCATCAGAACAGGTAAAAATGCATAGTTCGCATATTTCTGTGTGAAACTGGCCAAATACGGCTGTGCAATGCCCTGTCGGAATGTTAAGAATATATTTTTTTCCACATGAAATTTAACCCTCTCCTCTCCCCACCAATCGCATCACTGCTGTTTACACATCTTGCCATTTTGTCCATGATGCTGCAATTGGAGCCATGTGGGTGACTCCCCACATTCGTGATCTGTGTGGTACTTCACTGGGGTGTTGCTGGGGTTTAGCTGGATAGATCCTATTGCAGAATCTCAGGGCCTTTGTAAGTACGCAGTTCCTCTTTAGGCCCTGACCTTATGAAGACTCTCACGTGTGCTCAACTGAACACTGCATGATTACTTCCATTGACTTCTATGAGACTGCTCACTGGGCCCAGAATGAAATCTGTGCAAGAGTTTTTGCGGGGCTTCTACCTTATTCTGTGTTTTTCAGCACCTACGGGGCCCCGATTCAGACTGGGGCTTGTACGTGCTACTGAAAGATAAATAACTAGAAGACACAGATGATCTGGAGTTCAGAGTTATCTTGTAACTGAATAGTCTAGGAAAAATCCTAATATCCAAAAGTCTGTTCAGATAAATGAAATCTAATCACTTCTACCTGCCCAAGCAGCTTCTGATCTGCACACTGGAAATCTGGGTGTGTTACTAATTTGTCCATCCAACTGAGACTGAAAATGGAGAATATTCTTTCCCTTAAATGTCAATTTAAGGCAGAAGAAATGGCCTATTTGCCATCCAGCTTCCTGCTTGCAAAGTCCTTCCTCTGGCTTCACCCGCACAGCACTGCACTTTGGGTGGCTGGCAGCTGATTAGTTATGTCTGGCTCAGAAAAAGTTGGGTCAACTCATTTTAAGTGAACAAAAGTGGATATCTGTATACTATAAAATAAGTGTATGAGTTGTATAGCCTGTAATCGATAAATACAAATTTGACCTCAGATACGTGTAAAATGAAGGTGTGTCATAAAGAAATAATTGGCGCAAAAGCCAATTTTGTAAATACGGTAGAGTCTTGGTTTTAAGAATACCAATCTAACGAATGACAAGTTAGCTGAACCATTTTTTCCTGACACAAAAATAAAGGAGCACATAATGAAAGTACTGTCAGTGAAGAACAAAATCAACCTCCCTTCACATTCTGATGCCTGGAAATCGCTTTGCAGTGGTTTGAAAGATAAGAAGAAATTTGGTGCAGTGTACAACACTGCAACTTATGCACCGTACTTATTGTGATATTGAGATGTTCAATTTTATACGACTCTTCTATCCCCAATTAGTTTGTAAAATAGAGATTAGTACATGAAATATTGCAGGCGCGATTTGCAAGTTAATTGTGAAGAAGCTGTGATGAATCAATTCGTGATGTTTCTTTGTTCCTAGGTGGTGATGCTGAGCTCAGTCAGTGATTTGTTGATGTATATTGATGAGAAGCAGTTAACCCCGGAGTTCGGGGGCACCTTGGAGTACTGTCATAGCGAATGGGTTATCTTCAGAACTGTACGTAGCGCTGCTTATGTGGCATTACTCTGCATAAAACATAGCTCAAGCAGGGCCCGGTTCTACAAAGTGCTGAGAGCTGTCGCCCCCACTAAACCCCGCCTGGGAGGTGATGAACACCCTTGAGTCCCTAGTTAGCACCTTGCAAGATCAAGACCTTTGTGTAGCTCAAGTTATTGGCAGTGTTGAAAGGGATCTGAAAGAAGGGGGACTGTCTATCATTGACCCCTCATCGACCTGTCCCTCTGACCCATCCCTCCATCCATTTCCATCCCCCATTCATCCCCCACCTCACCTCTGCTCTTCCTGCAGCTTAGGTGTTGTTCATCCCCTTCTCCCAGGTCAGCAGGCTCCTCTCTGTCCCTTCCCAGTGAGGAACAGGAGCAGAGGAGCCGTCCTGTTGCTCAGAGGAGGGGAGAGGAGGGAGCCAGACCTGCCTTGAACTGCTGGGTTTTTTCTCCTCCCTCTTCCCTCCTGTGTGAATGGCGTCAGCTTCTGAGGGGCGGGGGTCAGAGTTCCGCAGTGGCTCTGATTGGCTGCTCTTGCCTCGGTGGTATTCAAGTGAGGAAAGCAGCCAATCAGAGAGGTTTGCCCCCTCAGGCGATACAACAAACACGCGCCCCTCAGCGACCCAGCTGGCTTCTTAAGTTGTTATTTCCCAGGTACATGACCCGGTGCACTTTAAGCATTGCTTATTGACTAAGCTTTTCAAAGGAGTCCCAGGGAGTTAGGTGCTGAATTCCTGTAGGAGATGGGTAACTAACGTCCTTAGGCCCCTCATCGCTTTAAGACCATTTAAAAATTCATCTCCTTTTGTCCCATTGGTTTAAAATGACAAATACACCTCTACCCCGATATCCTTGGGAGCCAAAAAATCTTACCGCGTTATAGGTGAAACCGCGTTATATCGAACTTGCTTTGATCCGTCAGAGCGCGCAGCCCTGCCCCCCCCGGAGCGCTGCTTTACCCCGTTATATCCAAATTCGTGTTATATCGGGTCGCGTTATATCGGGGTAAAGGTGTATCATGTGTTTTTCTTTGGATGTGGAGTAACGTAATTGAATAACGGTGTTTGTTCCTTGCACATGCTACTCTTTCATATTGCCAGGTTTCTATGACTCTGGCCTCCAGGCTTTCTCTGAACTATATTCTGCCATCAATTTCTATGCAACACCCTTTGATTTCAATGGATTTCACTTTCTGCTCAGAGAGCAATGGTAGGCTCTTCTGCTAATTATTATCCAGACAGCTCAAAACACTAATGAAAACTGCATGGAATTATTGCTTAAGGCTATAATCCTGGAATGAGCGCCACAAGGCAGACCTCTGTATCTGCATGGAGCTCATTGCTGGATCGGGGCCACAAGCATCTCTTTCGAGTTCTGAACCTGGCATTAAGAATTACTGAGAGCACATTATAAACACCTTTTTGCTTAACAATGTGATACACTGAACGTAATTTAAAAAACGAGGCTGAGAAAAGGTTGAGAAAACGTGTGGGGGGGAAATGAAAACACGTTGAATATTTCTGCTTGTTATGGCATTCACAACGGCGATTCAGCTTAGATTCATTGGATGGCTTAAAGTAGCAGTTCTCAAACTGTGGGTCGGAATCCCAATGTGGATCGCGACCCCATTTTAATGGGGTCACCAGGGCTGGCTTAGACTTGCTGGGGCTCAGGGCCCAAGCCAAAGCCCAAAGGATTCAGCCCTGAGCGCGAGGCTCAGGTTACAGGCTCCTTGGCTGGGACTGAACCATTGGGCTTTGGTTTTGACTCCTTCTCCATCGAGGTGGTGGGACTCGGGCAGGCTCAGGCTTTGGTCCCCCCTCCTGGGGTCATGTAGTAATTTTTGTTGTCAGACAAGTGTCAGAGTGCAATGAAGCTTGAGAAACACTGGCTTAAATCTTACTCTTGTACAAGGATTAAAATACATTAACTTCCCAGCTACTTTGAAGCTAATGGCAAAACTCCCATTGATTCTAATACGAGCAGGGTTTGAGCTGGGGTTTTCAAATGAGCTTTAAGGAGTTAATTGCCCAACTCCCCTTGAATTTCAATGGGTTGGGTGTGCCTAACTCCCTTAGGCTCATCTGAAAAGCTCAGCATTGGCCCTTAGTGCATTTTTTGATGAGCTCTTAGAATATCCTGACTACTGAGCTGATGAAATAATTGTCTTCCACCAGGCTATCGAGAGTTTTGCACTAACAGTGAAGGAAATTGCGCAGATGTTACAATCTTTCGGCACGGAGCTGGCAGAAACAGAGCTTCCAGATGACATGTATTCAATTGAGCGCATCCTGGCTTTGCGCACAGAAAAGTATTGTCAGCTCAAGGTATGCTACTCAGAAACTCAGCTCTATGTTAAGTCAGTGTCCTACTGCAGGTAGGACTTCTATGGTTTGATTGACTCTATGTTCTCTCTCTCTCCCTCTTCCCCCATATGCATGTGTTTCTATTATGACAGTTAAAATAAAACATACCTATTTCTGTATGTTACATCTATATTTGCCTTTCACCCATTCAAACAATTGTCATGCCAACATCCAGGAAACTGTCTCTGCTGCTAGTTGCTTATTTGATAGCCATGTAGCTGTCAGAGCTCGAGAAACAAAGCAATTCTTGCCCATTCTTGAATGTGCCCCACGTTCTACTCCTACAATGTGTCTTCCAGGGAAGAACCATGAAAAGCTTTGTCAACTCCAAGTGCAATGCTTCCCTCATGGGTCTGCTTGTTAGGACCCACATCTGGCATATGTAGAGTGAACAGAACGCCAATCTCCCACTAACATCAATGGGAGTTTTGCACATATAAAGAGAGCAGAAAAGTGTGGTAGATTTGAAGGATAATTTTGCCCCAAAGTTCCATACGTCTTATGAATGTGGTTGCATATTCACAGATACTATGGGGCAAATTCTCTTCTCCCAGTGACTTCAGGAAGGGTCCATTGGTTTGAGAGGAGGCAGTGAATGCATTGGTGTAAATCTATTGAGAGAATATACTATGTATTTTGTTACCCATGATGTGAGCTTTATCTTAATGTGAGCCCCTTTGTTTTATATAAATCAAATGGGAGTGCGGAGCCGGTGCTGGGGGCAGGGGCAGCGCGTGGAGCCCCATGGCCCCTCCCCCGGCCTAGGAGCCAGACCTGCTGGCTGCTTTCAGGGTGCAGTGTAGTCCCAGGACAGGTAGGGACTAGCCTGCCTTAGCCCCACAGCACCGCCGACCGGACTTTTAATGGCCTAGTTGGCAGTGCTGACCGGAGCCACCAGGGTCCCTTTTCGACCGGGTCTTTGGGTCGAAAACTGGACACCTGGTCACCCTACCGTCAAACAACTGTGTCCCCTCAGCTCTCCAGCCTGAGATGCCTTTTACACTGCTTTGCTCGTAAACAGCCACCCCTCTAGGCTTTGCCCACACCCAGCCTCGAATATGTAACCTGCTCCCAGTATACATTATTGAGTGCCACTAGCTCTTCCCTCCACTGCCACAATGGAACATTCTTTAAACTTCTTCCATTCTTCCTCCCCAGACTTAGTTGGCATTGGCAAAGCACGAAAGCCTTCCTTTACTTTTTGGCAGAACTCTCCTTTCTTGTTTAATATTTAAAGATCTATTTTACTGATTTGAGATTATGATTAAAATATTAGATGCTTAAAGATGGATTTTTGGTACAGCAGCTGCCAACCAAGCTGTTGTTTTTGATACTGCTGCATATGTGAGAGACCAGACTGGGTATAGTTCTGAAATCCTTCAGTTCAGAGATTCGGAGGCCAGAAGGGACCACTGTGATCATCTAGCCTGATAACACAGGCCAGAGAACATGCTCAAAAGAATTCCTAGAACAGATCTTTTAGAAAAATATCCAATCTTGATATAAAACTTGTTGATGGAGAATCCATCATGACCCATGGTAAGTTGTTCTAATGGTTATTTACTATCACCATTACAATTTGTGCTTGCAGAGTAATTGGCCAAATGCTCCTGTTGATTTGAACTCACAACCTACCTCTAGCACTGGAGGTAGAAGCCTCAGACCAGTGCCAACAACCTGCCTGTTAGATTGCTCATGCATTCAGTGGGGCTACTAATACATAGTGTAGGATGAGGTCCTGTATTTGCACTAGAGTGTAATGGGTTAATCCAATAAAGTTTGTATATTTTTTATATATAACATGCTATTTAATTCCTATGGCATTGTCTTATAGAAAGCTCCCAATTAGAAATACACACGATGGCAACCAAAACGTGCTCTGTGTATGTATGCATAGGTGCATATAAATATATACAGCATAGGAAAATATTGCGGTATTTTTAGAAACTATGCCAGCTATACATTGTCGTACATGCTTGATTTAACCTTTGTGCTGAGGAACAAATCCTTAGACAATGAAGCAAGTGTCAGTTGCAAATGTGCTAGTAAATACAGACATGTCAGTGACGCCTGCTTTTTTTGTGGTGAAATCAAAAATACCATGAGTTTTCGTTTGCATTTAAAATATTGGGCTGTTCCTTTAGATTAATCATTCAGTAGAAATCATCTGTTGTTGTTTTTTAAATGTCTCATTCATTAGTTTAAAAGGCTGTTGAGTTTTTGAACAAAATGTAGCCTAGTTGTGTGTGTGTTTTCAAGAACATGAAAGATTAAGCTGGATAAGAAATTGTGCACAGATTGCAGTAATAAAGATACAAGATTCTTGTATTGCTGTCATGGCAACTGAAAGATTGGGGCAGGAGATTTCTGAATACATAAGAACTATCACATACATTTGCGCATTTGTGTAGCTGTGATACTGAACAGAAGCCAGTTGTAAAGGTAATGAGAAAAAGACAAGCTAATTAAGCAGACTAAGAAATTAACCCCTTTGATATACTGAAAGGGGAAAAATCATATTTAACACCTGTTCAGTTGCTTTTGATGCTTAGGTTACAGCATCTTCCCGTGTAATGGAATTGTCTGAAACAAAAGGAGACTTTAGGTCTCTGGAGAGCTAAACATGAGAGGGTAAAGTAGCAGCCATCTTTTGCCTAAAACATACAGCGTAATTCCTCTTCCCTTCTGTGTTTCCTGAATTACTGAAGTATCAAACATGGTCAGAACTTTTGTCCTAGGTCACATCAATCAAGAGCCAATTGATACTAACACATTCCAACAGTTTGCACTTCATGTGTTCTGATTGGCTGTTTGGTCCAACCCTCCACCTGCCCCTCTCTCATGGTCTCTTCAGCTCAATATCACTCCACACCCGCCCCTCTTACCCTCTGGTGCCTTGGCCTGGCCCCCTCACCTTCCTTCCCTACCCTTTTCTTTCCATTTAGCTGATTCCTCCTAAGTAACCCTTCCCCTTCCCCTCAGCCCCCCTGAAAAAAAAGTGGAACTACCATGACATTTGCCACTCTCACAGTGTTCACCCTGCTTGTGTGTTTTACCGCTTCCCCTACCGGTGATGCCTACTCTATTTAAATTGTAAGCTCCTTGAGGCAGGGACCCTCTGGCACACTGTCTCTGTACAGCGCCTAGCACAATGGGGTTCTGGTCCATGACTGGAGCCCCTAGGCAATACAATAATATAAATAGTAAGTGTGGAAGAAAGCATGGGATACATAATCAAATCTGTTATGTTCTTTTAACATAGTAAGGCCAGTGAAATGCACAGAATCAAATGATGGATCTGCTCCCACCCTCCGTAAATAAACCAGTCCCTTGAGATACTTTAACTTGCTGGCTATGTATACGCTAATCCGGCCAGGCATACTTCTGAAGGAAGGGTGCATTTTTTTGTGGAAAAATTGGAAAGAGTCCAGCGGAGGGCAACAAAAATGATTAGGGGTCTGGAGCATATGACTTATGAGGAGAGGCTGAGAGAACTGGGATTGTTTAGTCTCCAGAAGAGAAGAATGAGGGGGGATTTGATAGCAGCCTTCAACTACCTGAAGGGGGGTTCCAAAGAGGATGGAGCTCGGCTGTTCTCAGTGGTGGCAGATGACAGAACAAGGAGCAATGGTCTCAAGTTGCGGTGGGGGAAGTCCAGGTTGGATATCAGGAAAAACTATTTCACTAGGAGGGTGGTGAAACACTGGAATGCGTTACCTAGGGAGGTGGTGGAGTCTCCTTCCTTGGAGGTTTTTAAGGCCTGGCTTGACAAAGCCCTGGCTGGGATTATTTAGCTGGGAATTGGTCCTGCTTTGAGCAGGGGGTTGGACTAGATGACCTCTTGAGGTCCCTTCCAACTCTGATATTCTATGATTCTATGATTCTATGACTAGCTGCTTTTTTAATCTCCTCCCTCCCTCCCATGATGCTCCTGGTGCTCCTTCCTATAGAAAGAAGAAATATCCAGGAGCACCACACGCAACTGGGTGCTGTCTGCGGTGTGCAACGGCACTGTTCTCATGCCCCGGGCCTTCCCACTAATCAACAAACACAGCCGGATGGGTTGGCCTGACAGTACCAGGTGGGACTTTGCGTTGCCACGGCAAGGAGGCAAGACGGGGGCCAGTCACAGCCGTGAAAGGCTCTTTCTTGGACAAAACTTGGCCTTCAGAGGGAAGTCGCCTGTTGCGATATTCCCAACTAAATGCCTTTGGTGAAATAATTGGATCATAGCTAGAAGGGCAGAAGGTAAATGGGCCTGGTGCATAACTCTACTGTGGCAGAACCTTGTGCACCCGTAGTTACTGAGCCTAGTGACTTAAAACTTTACCCTGGAAGCTTTTTGAGGCAGGGACTAGCTTGCCCTTTGTGTACGTACAGCTCCTAGAGCAACGAAGCCCCGATGTCAGGGTGGGAGTATGTCCATGCTATGAATGCTGCAGCGACACATCGACCAAGCTGTGTCGACGGTGGGGGTTAGAGTGACCTAACTACCCCGCACAGGGCATGAAGGTTTTCACGGCGTCGAGCGACGTCACTAGGTCGTCAACCTAAGTTCTAGGTGCGGACCGGGTCGGAGGTGCCACTCTAGACGTGGGTATGGTTTTAAGAGGAAAGGGAGGGAGGAATCTCCTCCCAACCTCTAACTTGGATGGAAACCCCTGTTCTTTCTTCCCTTCCCCCACCCCCTTTCAGCCCCTCCGTGGAGGGGAGGGCAGAGAGGGATGCAGCAGGATGGTGGGGAGAAGGTTTCCATGTGCAGCTTGGCACTCTTTCCTTGCCTCTGCCACTTGGGGCTGCTCTGTTGGGGAGACCAGAGGCTGATTTCTGGAGCTGCAGCCCCCATCCTGCCTGCCCTGCGACAAGCTCTGTATGCAGAGCAGGGGGATTGGCAGGCAGACAAGCCCTGGCCCCTGTCCACCTTCATTTCCCCCCACACTCCTCATGGAGCGGAGGGGAAGGAGGAATCAGCCAGGGGACAGCCTTCGGAGGACACAAGATGGAAGAGGGGGGGTCCCTGGGGCGGGGAATTGTGGGGAGTGACCGGCTGAGGGGAGAAGTGTGGTGATGGACCTAGACTTGAGTGGCTCAGTCTTGGCTGTGGGGAGATGCAGGCTCAGGGATGGGTCTTGGGAGAGAGGAAGATGAGGGTTTTTTGGGGGAGGAAAGGGTATTAGTGGGGGGGGAGGAAGGAGTTGAGGGATGTGGTGGGAGAGGGAGTGAAGCTGGTATCTGGGGAAGCGCCAGTGAGTGAATGATTTGAGGAGCGTGAGGTATTGAGACCCGTATTGGTAGCAGGGCATAGGAGGAAGGAGGCACTTGCACTGCAGGGGGATGGGGAGGGTTTGTAGCAGTAGGAAAGTCTGTATCCCCCTCAACTTTGCTGGCAACATTACTCCACCGGTCAGAGAAGTAATATGGAGTAATATTGATAAATAGGAGAAACCCACTGCAATGCACGCTCATACCACACGTAAAGGAGTTGCCAGCAGAGCGTGCTGGGTGAGAGCCCCTTAGCTCTGGGATGTACTGCTCCCCACTTGGTCTGCTGGAGCCCACCGTTGTTAACAGGATAGCTCACCCTGCAGTGCTGAGAGTCCCTTTTATTTCAGACTAGTGTGTCCACATGGGCAGTTATACCAGCATAGCTATAGCCATTTAATTATCCCTCTGGAGTTCTGCCAGACAGTTTCCCCATGTTGACTAGCCCATCTTCCGGTTTCTCTTTTGCTTCCTGAGATGCGTCATTCAGCCCAGTTCAACACCCACAGCAGTTTTTCTACTCTCTTCGCATCACCAACCCTGCTCCAAACTGTCGCTTGCCATGGGAAATAAACGAAGAAAACACTTGCTCTGGGGCTGAACCTGATGTAGAGTGAATTTTTTCCGCTGAAACTCAACTGCCAATTTTTTAGTTTGAATCCACTTCCAATGAGTTTATAATGAAAACGCTGGCAAACCTTTGGTTGTAGAGACTCCGGCGCATGCGGTCGTACAATCGCAGTCTTAGGATCAGTGCACAATCAGCACATAGTGGGTGGACGTTTGTTCTTCCTGTGAAATGCAACATACTAACTGGAGCAATATTAATTCAGCACACCAGCTGTTTATACCTAGTCTATCTAATATCTGGCTCTATATAATCTTTATTAACCACTATATAATAACACTTCTATCGTGCTTTCCCATCCAACGCTCTTAAAGCATTACTCCCCTGCGAGGTAGGTATAGAAGGTGCTAACATCCCCATTTTACAGATGGGGACACAAAGACCCAGAGAAATGAATTGACTTGCGCAAGCAGATCACTGTGGAGCCTGACAGTGTCTGAAAATAAACTAACCAGTAGTGTCCTACATTTGTGCAGGGAGATATTACAATAGTAACAAAAGAAGGAAACGTGCTGTTAAGTAGTTTAGAAGAGCCCGATGCCAACGAACGTAGTCAGAAACAACACCGCGACAGACCTGGAGACTGGGAAACTGTGAATCGGTGAGTGCAACGTGCTACTTGTTTGATTTGGAATGGGAACTCGCAAGATAGTCAGACTAAAATAAGACTTTAAATGTATTAAGCCATGCATGTACTTTCCATGGCAGCCGTGGTCAATACAGGGAAAGATACAATGATACCGTCATGGGTTCTGTTCCGATCTGTACCACTGACTTGCTTTTGCAAGTGATTTAACCTTGCTGTGATTCTGTTTCCCCATCGTAAAATGGGAGGATGGGGCTTAGCGTCCTCAGTGGCAAGTCCCTTAGACATCATATTTTAGAAAGATAAAATAGAAGCAGTTTTATACCTATCTCACATGGCTATTATCAGCCTTAATGATGTTTGTAAGGTTCTTTTGAGATCTGCACGCAGTCATTTAGATCCACATCTAATGAGTTATCATCCGAGATGGGCCCTGAACTGAAAGCCCAGATTCAAAACACCACAAAGTAGAGTGGACTCTGGGTCAGAACTTTGCCGTGTGGTCCCATCTCCCGTAGTCCTGTATTGGCCAACTCTTTTTTGTCTTGTCCTTTTTCATTTTTGTTCAGGTTACTTGCTCAGTTGCATGAGATGGAAACTGCTTTTGATGGCTTCTGGGAAAAACATCAACTAAAAATGGAGCAATATTTACAACTGTGGAAGTTTGAGCAAAGTTTTCAAGAGGTATGCGGAGACTGATCCTTCCCCCCCGCACAAATGGGAGTCCTGAAAAGAGATTTCAGGCACTATACTATTGTCCTGTCAGGCACAACCATGGTTGCTGCCTTCCATTCAGAATAAATGGAAAGAAGCCATTGTAATCAGGCGGCTGAAACAATGACAGTAGCACCCAAAACAACAGGCACATGGCAATGCTGAGTAGAAGCTGAATCCTGTAACCCAAGGGTTTTAAAATGCAGGGGCTGGGGCTTTGATTGGTAGAACATTTTTGTGTGTGCGTGCGTGCTTGCAAGCACCAGAGAGAGAGAGACAAGACAAGCTGAAGTAAGACAGACTGGGAGACAGCCTGGACAAGCACAGAACCCAGAAGAAGCCAGAGAAGGGGCTTCTGGGTCCTGTGCTGGCTAAAGAGGACTGGGGCTGTAAGCAAAGAAAATATCTCCTTTCGGCTTTAGATCCTCCTGCATTCAGAGAAGTAGGATTTTGTACATCCCTTGTAAATAAACAAGACAGAAAATACCAGACTCTGGTCAATTCTGTCTCCAAACCGGAACACTCTCAGAGCTCCAAACTTTGCCGCTTGAAGCAAAAAGGGACGATACTGTACCTAGGCCACACCCCTGAGCGACCTAATCTCCTGTGTAGCTAGTGCTATGTTGGCAAGAGAGCTTCTCCCACTGACACAGCTACCGCCTCTTGGAGAAGCGGATTAATTATGCTAATGGGAGAAGCTCCCCCATCGGTGCTGGAGCGTCTTCGCTTGGTGCAGCTGTGCCGATTCAGCATCTTAGGTGTAGATCTGCCATTAGATAGACTTAACTGATGATTTCCAGACTTTGGGATGATTTTTTTAACTCTAACGTTCTTGCAGTTTGAGCTGTCTCACTTGGCAACCTTAACTATAACGGGATGAGCTTTTGGCTTGAGACTAATTTTGTGCTTATAACTTGTATCCTTTTGCAATTGTCATCTTCTTATTTTTAGCTCCAGAGTGCCATTGAATTTTTAATGGGCCAGCAAGCAGAACTGCCTGACACTGGAGATAGTGTGGCTGAAGTGAAACAAAGGCTCAAAGACTTGGGTAATTTAGATGGAATGGCTCAGGTGAGATAATCTTTCAAATACTAGGTGTACCAATGAAACATTATAGGCGCTTTCTGAGAGTGCCAGAACTAACTCTCTGAAATGACCTGACTTTCGTGTAACTCATCAGTAGGTGGCTACAAGCTAGTGTTGATTTCACGAGTCTTTCACCTGTGTGGAACTTCATTCAGAGCACATTGAAAACCCTAGGGCAATGAATTTGGTTCTCCTAGACAAAAAAAAAAATCACTGAACCACCACAAAATCCAGCACAGATAAGTCTGTCCATAGAGAAGACCAGGGGGCTGCATATCTGGGGAAGAGTTATTTATTTAATAAATGCCATTATTTGGTAACCCGTGTTCCATAGGTGCTCACTTACCGGTGAAGAGGCAAGACAAGTCCCCGGCTTGAAGTGTTGGCAATTGAAGTGGGCAACATATAGGTGAAGAGTAGGAGATGTGACAAAAAGGAGAGGGATGGGAGTGTTGAAGTTTTCTGGGAGTCTTGCTGATTGCATGCTTTTTGGATAGCAATATATAATGTGTGTGATAGGCATGCATGGCTACATACATATATGTAGGGTGGGATTTTCAAAGGAATGTAAGAGAAGTGGGTTCCTAACTCTCGGTTAATATGACTGTGTGGCAGGGCCGCCCAGCGGATTCAGGGGGCCTGGGGCAAAGCAATTTTGGGGGCCCCTTCCATAAAAAAAGTTGCAATACTCTAGTAACGTATTTGGAAATGTAAAAAATAACCAATGAAATACATTCAAAAATTAATTTTTAATAATTTGAAAATACATGAAATACATTATTTAAAAACATTAAATGCTGTAATGGTATGTATACATTTGCAATTACATAATGGGCTGTTGCTGGGTGATGGTGATGGTTGGTGCCAATGGGCTGTCGCTGCCTGGGGGTGGTGCTGCTGTTGCCCAAGGCTGGGTGGGGAGCTGGGCTCTGGGTCGGGGGGGGTCCCCGCTCAGAGGGGCTGGGCTCGGAGCTGGGGGTCGAGGGGTGCCCGGCTCAGAGGGGCTTACCATGCCGCCTCCCCCCCTCTCCCAGAGCCTCAGCGAGCTGCGTCCAGGAGCTTCTGCTGCTCGGCCCGCCGGAGCTCGCAGCCCCGCCCCCTTTCCACGCAGCTCCGAGCAGGAGGACCTCAGGCCCCGCCCAAGCCACGCTGCTGCAGCGCTGACCAGGGCCACTCCTGGACGCGGTGCTCTGAGGTGCTGGGGGATGGGGGAAGGCGGAGGCAGGGAGAAGCCTCTGACATTCTCATGGGGGCCCCTGTGGGGCCCGGGGCCTGGAGCAAATTCCCCCATTTTCCCCCGGTCCCCCCCCCCGGGAGGCCCTGCTGTGTGGAAAGGCCTAGGGCTTGTGGGCCATTTGAAAGAAGGGATGTTCTTAAGCTGAAGCTTGAAGGAATAAAATGAGACATGGCAGACAGGGAATGTTGGGGGACGGGTCCCTGGGTAGAGCCCACATGAGAGACGGCAGAACAGTTGCATTGGCATAGCTGCCAAGCTTGACGACGAACAAGGTGGTTAATTCTTCCTCCACATTATCATCCGGAGAACAAGCCAAAGCTGGCTGTTAACCACATTGGAGGGTAATATTTCTGGAAATGATGGTACGATATCCTAGGCAGCTCCGGCCATGCACTCGAAGACCAGCCAGGTTGTGGTGGTGATTTGTTGCTTTTCCTTTTGAATGGTACAACACATTAAAAGCGGCCCATCCCCGGTTGCGGGTGCCCTGTTTTCAGATGCTGCATGCTGAACCTCTTTTACCCATTTCAAATGGTATGGATTTGGTAGGTGCAATCAGATGAAATTGTTAGGTACAAGTTATTACTGAGAAATGTTTCCATGTTTCATTGTGATGGCATGATCCAAACAAGCATGTAATCCCCTCCATTGCTTTGTCTTTACGAAAGGACCTGGCAGGGAAAGCACAGGTGGTGATATTACATGGGCACCAGCTAGCAGCAAATCATCATTACGCGCTCAGCTTAATCTGTCAGCAGTGCAATGAGCTGCGGCACCATTCTGACGTCCTGTCGGAGGAGATCAAGAGGAAGCACGTACGACTCCGGATGACCTTAGATCTGCACACCCGCCTGCAGCAGGTAACAGTCAGAACTATGATGCACCGGTGGCTGTTTAACCTCTCCGTGTGGATCTCCTGCAGACCGGACATCCTGGCTACAAGTATCCTGCATGCAATGCACATCTTGTGGTGGCGATACTCTGTTTCTATAGCTCACACTGGGACAGCGCTCCTCTTTGTCCTCCTCTAGTGGCTGTGTCACACAAGGTGTTAACACATCTGCTACCATGGTTAGCTCAGGCAGATGAGGCCTATGATTTTAGGGTTGAAGGTCCCAGGTTTTGAGTACTTGAGTCTCCTCTGTGGCAGGCCCCTCTAATCACTCCCGATTTGATCTCCACATGTGGTGCTTAGTATTGTTCCTGATGGTCCATGTTGCGCTGTCTGGAGTGGCTCACGAGTGAGAATACCAACCTCAGGGCAGACTGTTAGGAAGCAAGGCACAAACCCCAAAGTGGTTGTGAGTTCTATACTTAAAGTTCATCAACCCAGTAACAAGTGTAAATTCCTCAGGCACTCTACAGCCTTAACATGGAGTCACAGACTGTCCCCTTTTGCCTTCCGATCTATCTTGTCTCCCAGGCAAGCTTGACTCTGTGATAAGCCGTCACTTTACGCCAAAATCACAAGATATTCTGGTTACCCGCAGTCCCAAAGAACCAGTCACTTACCCCAGGCTGATTTGCACTTAGATCTCACACCAGAGCCAATGCTTGTAGCCAATCTTATAGTAAAGTAGGGATATATTAACTAAAGGAAAGAAATGAGAATTATTTACAAGGTTAAAGTTTCTAGCTAATCCCTCAGTTAGAGGTTGGCTTCTGCCCTTGTTTTCTAAGTGCTTATTAAAGTAATTCTGGACCATCTCATTGACTATATAGAAGTCTGATCCTTTTAAAAACCCTATTCTGTTCTCGGTCATTGCAATATCACCTTGTGGCAATGAGTTCCACAGTTTAATTATGGTAATTGAGTGGCATGCATAGAACTTTCAGATGTTATTGATATAATATTATAGGTATAAAACTGTAAACTATTGGTATTTAAGTACCTTGTTATAAAAATATGGACACAATGATGTCAGTTATTCATCACAACTCAAACTCTGTCGAGCCCAACTAATTAGTCACTAAACACATTAATGGCTGATCTTCTTGTTCATTTTGTCACGTTTACTTTCAGAGCAAGATAAATAATACGGGAGGAGTTATGTACCAAATTCTACTTTTATGTCAGTGGCATACGAGTGATTTTGCACCAGTGTAGCTGAGAGCAGAATTTGGCTGGCAATGTTAGCCATTCTCCAGAAATTTAAGGCCCTACTTCCCTATTATCAGAATGCAAGAGAGTTGATTGAACTTCTCAGAAAGCTAATTAGCTTGCTGGTTTTCTCCAAATTGAAAAGCAGATTAAGTGAATGCTAAATTAATGGGTGATAAATATTTTTCATTTATACGTTGGTTAACTGGAGGTTTCGGCTCACTGATCTGTTTACTCCTCATTTGTGTTACACTTTTATCAGGCCCTCGAGTGCTGTGATGAAGGGGCTAATCTTCTCGCTAATCAGCCAATGGATAGATGCCAATCTAAAGAAGGTGCTGAGAAAGCTCTTCAGGATATAGACAAATTTCTTGAAAGTTCTTTGCCGTACTTCAGCTATGATCCCCAAGTCCTGTGCTATGACTTTGAATCTGTTTTAACACCTGAAATAAAGGTAAGATACCTCACTGTCCTCTTTTAAAAACAATAATAATACAATTACAATACAGTTGCACTATCACCAGCCTTTGTATTGTCTCTGTTATAGTGACAAATAATAATAGTAATTTGCTTACCGTTGTCTTATTCGCACTCCGCAGGGCCAGATACAGTCAGTCCAGATCAAGCTTGAAAACGTTCGAAGTATGTTTGAGAATCGGCAAACTTGCTTCAAAAAGCTTGTGGATAAACAAGTGCGGCCTGTTCAGTTAGTAGCCCCTCGACCAGAAAACCCACCAAGATCGAAATCTCCTTTATTCTCTCCCAAACACGGTAAAAGTATTTTTAAGTTTCTGTCACCTTAAAACGTTCAGCTTTGTTAATTTTGCTCTGAGCTGTGAAGGAATAAGTCTAAGTGTAGTTTTGAGAAGTAAACTAGAATTTATGGGCTGATGTAAAATTACTAGATCAGTGTTAAATGCTTAGGAGATTACCACCTCTCAAGTTTTGGGCTCGAGACTCCGATTAATGGGTAAGTAACGTATGTTTCGAAGTCTCCCATGTGGTGCATAGATGGGACAAAGATCCCTGTCGTATTTAAGTTTATGTTGGTCTCTGCTACTGTATGGAATGTTTTTAGCTTCATAAGCAGAATATAGTTATAAGAAGAGAGGTGAGTTATTGAAAATTCTTGAGCTCTTTGAAGTTTTGAGGCCTTCAAGTTTCTTAGAGTTTTTATTTCAGTTGTGAAAAGGTTGCATGAGAATGGGTGCAATATTTTCTCCACTGTCTGTGTAGACAAGCCGATGCAGTTTTTCTATGTTCATTTTTGAGGCTGGGATTGGTTGCATGGTATTTATCCCGAAAGACACAGTGCAAAGTTCCCCCGCGCTGTCCCACCACACAGCCTGCAGTGCTAAATTGGAAGTGAAATTAGGGTTACATGGGAAAAGGACAAGAACCTATTAAAACGTATGAACGTATTTATTTTCTATATCAAGAAGTCCTCACTTAGCAATCTCATCCGTATACTTAGAGCCGCAGCTGACACAGATTTTGGCTGACATTTTGCAGGAGCCTAAGGAAATTAGTCACCCAGATCCCACTGAACTTGAAAGGAAGTAGGGCGCTTAACTTCCTTAGACTCACTTAAAAACTCCCCTCTTAAGCCCTTATTATGAAATAACATATGTTCCTAAAAAGCCAAATCCTGGGAAATAAAGGTCCATGGATGTTCTGCCCAGAACAGTATTTGGCCCGATGTTTGTTTAAATGATGAAATTAAACTTTTTTTCCTTAACACGCTTTTATATACCAGTATAAACAAGTTGTCCAAGGTAATGCTCAGTGGTTTGATTATGTAAGGCAATTAATTTATGATCTATGTGAGGATCATTTTTCTTAGCATATGCACGACGTGACCAGGATTAATCACCGAATTTGGTCCGCTGGTTGGCTCATTAGCTTCCCCGGCCCAGGCCGGTTAGTGACGGGGACGCTGATCCATGATCGTTAATTATTTATTATGATATTAGGTATGTTATGCAGTGCCTTAGAGCCCTCAGCTGAGATCAGAACCCCGTTGGGCTAGGCTTTATACATGCACATGTTAAGAAATGCTCCCCACTCCGGAGAGTTTATACAGTAAATAAACAAGGCAGGCAAAGATGGGAGAGGAAACACAGTAAGAGAGAGGTGAAGTGACGTGCCCAAGGTCACACACATGTCAGCGTTGAGAAAAGCCCCAAGTCTCCTGACCCCTGTCCAGTCCCTGTTCAAGCATTTCCTCTGAAGCATTACTCATCAACAGTATTGTGATGGCTTTTTAAAATCAAAGCGTTGTGGCTATTTCGTAATGTTTCGTCGTCGGCATTTCAGAAACAGAAAAGTGATAAAGAGAGAACTTTGCCGTAAAGATTCGGGCAAATGGTGTAGCCTGTCGCTGTCTGTGATGATTTGGATCATCCACACCGGTAAGGGGTTCTGTCACCGCCTGTCCGGTAACCTTGGGTACTTTGATACTATTCTGCGGCGGTTCACAGCCCTGACATCAGGAGCCAGCCCATAATCCTAAAGCTCTCATCCTGGCTTCCACTAGCCTACTTAGTCCTGGCAGGGTGACCCCAACAGCCCTTTCAGTTCCAAGTCTCCCCAAATCCATCATCCTGAGTCCCTAATGACCAGACACGTAGACTTTTCCTCTCTGGTTTGTCAACCATGAAGGTGTGAAAGCAGTCCGCTTGCTTTGGCACACAAACTCCACACAGTTTGCACACCAGGGACCTGCTTGGGGTAAAACTAAACAAGAAGTTTATTTAATAGAAAAAATCATGGATTCGAAGATGAAATAGCAAGGGAAGCAAACACGTACAAGCTACACGGACAATAAACATAAAGATGCATCTTCAGGATGTACTCTTTCAAATGAGAGAAAAATCCCTTTTCTAACACATCTATTGGCTTTGAACTGGTTCTCAGCATACTCCCTAACTGTAGGGGGATCCAGGGTTCATAGACAGCTTCCCACTTCGATGTTGTCCCTCAGTCTCTGAATAGGTTTCACTTCAAACCCCTTCCCCTTTAAAAAGGATTTTCAGGGTTTTTTCCCCTTCAGTCACTGTAGAAATTCAAAGTGGGGAACCCCCTTCTCCCCCTCCCCCGCGCCTTCCTTAGTTTTCCAGGACTGGGGGTTTCTTTTCAGTTTCAAGTTGTTTCAGTATTTTCCCATGAACTGTAGTGCCCATCATTTGTCTTTTCCTGGGTTATACAGTGGTAGGTGCTTAGGGCTCATCTCATCTGGTGGGGGAGGCAGCCCCCCCCCCGCCTGACCACTTACCGCCCTGCTGTTAGAGGGAACTAAAAGCTGCAGCACAAATAAATAAATTCATATATACATATAAATACATAACCACAATCTGTTTGAATATGTCATAATGACCATCAAGTTCAGAACGTTACAGGCTTTCATAAAAGACCTTATTCAACATATTTTTATAGCATAGTAACATTATATACAGCTTATTCTTTGGGGTTCTACCCTGGGGATGCCTGGACCCTGAATGTCACACCATCACAGTGGCTATCTGACTGGATGTATTTGATGCTGTTCCCTTAAACGTACATTTTAAAGGCATGAAATCAGTCGTAACGGACAGGTACCCTGCATTAATCTTAACCCTGAAAGACGCGAACAAGCATCTGGAAATGAGCACAGCCAGCAAAGGGTGAAAAGATGAAAGGCATTTCTTTTGGAAAGGTCTCCATTTCACACTGAAACATCGAAATGGCTTGATCTGAACTGGTGGGATATCTTGTGTCAAAGATCCATCCTGGGATGCACTGAGTGTGCTTTGAGTTCTGCAGACACTAGGGCACAGATTGAAAGCAAGCTACCGAGAAGCACGCTTTTTTGTGCTCTTTTCTTTTTTTTTTTTAAGAGGGTAGGGACTTCCTCCTTTCATCTGTGCCTGGGTTTGAACTTCTCTGTTGGGGGGCAGGTCTATTTTTAAAACTACTTTTGAAAAAATGTAAACCATAAAATAATGTAGTACCGTATACTGAAGTGCAGTAAAGTGCAATAATGTTATGGCTCTATAATAAAGTAACGTTAACGGCTGTATTTTCAAACTTTGCCACCTGAGTCGCAGACACAGAATACAGGATGATCCCGAGATCCTGAGCACCTTCCAGTCTCAGTGAAGTCTCTCATGCTGTCAATGAGAGTTGAGGTTGCTCAGTGCTATGTAGGCAATACTCACGTACGTGCATCTGACGTTCCTGCAAAATGTGTACGAAAGAGTCTTTGCTTATGTAAAGGGGATGGTTATACCCACAAGAACCATGCAGACATGCAAATATATGTCGTGCACATGCAGATATGTGCTTTGTAGGCACAGCTGAGGAAGACACATTTTACAACTGCAGTTTAGGAATGAAGATTTCAAAATGTAGCCAGTCAAGGGTGTGTCTCAAACAAAGCAAGGTAAGGTAAAGTTAAGGACAACATTTCCAACTTATTGTACAGGTACAGAGGAGGAGCCACCAGGATGGAATTTTATCATCAAACTGCAATGAGGTTTTTCATTTATGGCTTTCGACCAGCTCCTTTTAAAGTGCAGTTCAAGTTTGAAAATTACCAATCTAACCATGACAACTAAACACACTCAATTCATTAATTCCTTGTGTATATTCAGTCATATCTGCTAAACCTAATGACAAAAATCAGTTTGACTGTGATTCTCTCCTGATAGTCCTGCTGAAGCAACACAACTAAGAGGGCAGGAACGGGATTCTTTTCCCTCTCGTGCACCATCAACAATTGTTGACGTAGTTCCAATCAGTTACAGCTGTCTAGCTGGTTAACACTGGTGTTACAGAGGGCATGATATGAAGATAGTGGAGATGCACAGATGTCACATGTGCCATGGGATGTAATTTGGCCTACAGGACCTTTTGTGAAGCAGTAAAGGATCCAGCTTGATTCTCAGTGCTGGCTGAATTTGCAGGGCTGGCAGTTCGGGAAGAAAAAGCTTGACTTGTAGAAAGAGCATCTAAGATATGGAAACCGTTGAGAGACAAATAAGTTTAGAGCGCCACAGGGCCATTCTTACGTTTGCTCTTCACTGCCGAGCCTCGCTTCTAAAAGCGAAGGGATGTTCACCCTGGCTTGCCAGTGGCATTTGTGGGCTGCATTACAGTGGCTAAGCCACAGGCCAGGAGAATGGCAAGAAGATGATAATGGGCTTCGGACCAATAGGAATCACTGGAGGGGCCTTCTCGCTGACTTCTAATGTTCTGGTTGTCTGTAACTGTACAAGCGACTGTCCTCTTTGTACGTATCAATCCAAATAACACTGAGAGACAGAAAGTTTCCTATTTTAAAAAGTAGGAATTTTGCTGAATGTGTTACAGTAATTTCTGCCTTTTCATTCTGAAATACATGAGTGTAAATACGCAGGCTCGATTGCTGGAGAATGATCCCCCCCCCCTGTAAATTCAGCAAAAGGGAACCAGTGTTTAAAATACTTTTCTTGCACCTTCATTGCCCCATTTTTAAATTGCAACACAATATTACCATTGGAGGATATTTTTTTCTTCCAGTGACTTGCGTCAGAACATCTGTGTTCAATCAGTGTCGTTTGTTTTTAAATATCGTCACTGATCTTTTATTTCAGTGGAAGTCTCAACAATGAGACAGGTCCTTTGGTCAACCATACTTATGAATGGCTCTATTGTTAACTTTTTTGATGCTTCAAATATGTATTCCCCACCTTCTCTCCAGCAGTCACCCTTTGCGGTTGAAGTCTTTTTCAATCTAACTGGTATATAAGGCATCACTGGAATAGTAATTTCTAATCGTTTTATTTTGTGACAGCACATTTTGAAGACGAGACGCCTTCTCTCCATATCTGTTTCCATTCCTCTGCATCAATTTTTTCTCCCTGCATCTTTTGCTCATTGCTTCACAAAAGGTGGTTCTTTTGTATAAATACTATTCAAAATTTTAAATAACCTAGTTCCAGTTCCTTTTCGGCCTCTCATCTGCAGCAATGCGTTTTTCCCCATTGAAAAGAATCTTTCATTAACGTTGCTTTATTTTTGCCTGTGCTGACTTATTCTTTGATTTTTAACGAGTGTGAAGATTACAAGTCTTAGGAATTTTTATTTTAATTTGTCTCAAAATTGCGTACAGTCCTTCTTATAACAAGTCACACAATGATCAAGTAACTGCTTTGCCCCAGACATCAACATTTCCTCTTACTAGTGAGAGACTTTAAAATCGTCATTTCATATATTGGTCATTATGAATTATTTGTATTCAGGTAGGGGACCCCAAGTGAGATTGAGGCCCTATTGTGACGTGCACCATATGCATAGTTAAGAGAGGCCTTGTCCCAAACAGCTTCCAATCTGAATGGCCAAAGGGTGGGAGAAAAGGGCAGTATTATCTTCCTCATTTTGTTTTTGGGAAAGGAGGCACAGAGGGTATGTCCACACTGTGTTTTTGGAGCAAGCGGGAGCGTGCTTGCAGCCTGGGTCAACAGACTAAGCTGGCAGGGCTCACGCTAGTGCTCTAAAAAGAGCTGTGTGGACAGTGCTTTCAAGCTGAGACTTTGGCTGGAGCTCAGGCTGTGAAACCCACCCGCTGCCCTAGGTTTCAGAGCTGTCTAGACACCTTTTTTTAGAGCGTACCAAGTCTGTCAACCCAGGCTGGGAGGTTGGCTTCCGCTCGCTCCAAAATGTGATGTAGACATAGCCAGAGAGGTTTTAGTGTCTCCCCCAATGACAGAGAGTCAGGAATGGAGTCCATATCTCCCGTGACCACAAGACTATGCTTCCTGTCATACTGGTGATAGATGAGATAGAAAATGATTTCATTCTTCTGAGACAAAAGTTCCATCATTGTATATTGACTTTAGTAGTAGAAGCCTTGGTAGCACTGTGCCCCACTCTGAGAGAGCTTGAGGGCAGGGTGGCCAGCAGGATGGGTGGGGCAGAGATGTAGCTTTCTGTGGCACTCTCCTTTTATCTATTTTGCTCAGAATGTGGGCAGTAGGTAATGCAGCTCAGAGTTTCAATACCTTCTGTGGCTGCTACTCCGCAGGCTTGGTGGGATCCAGCCTGTAGTAATGCAGCTCTTGCTGCAAGGGGGAAATGGGATGGCAGTAGAGTCTGGAGTTATCCATTAGCCCAGCTCATATCTCATTGCATAAGAGAATGCTGTTACTGTCTACAGAGGACCCCAAGGGCTGGGAGGCAACA